GGTTGTACCTGAACACTTGCAGGAATTCAGTACGGCCTCCTCCCCTGCTGAATTCCTGCAGAGTCCACAAGGACTCCCCTTGTGAAAGGCAATGTTGCTGATCATTTGTGTGGTTGTTCAAATATTTATCCTCTTTTGTCCTCAAATAGGATGCTATGCCCTACAGCATGGTTCCAGGTGCCTTGCTTGAGTCTACTTGTCTCTTGTATGTTTTTTTGCTTATATTGTCTGCAGTGCTTATATTGTCTACCACATGATGGGTTTACTTTGTAGACTTTTTTCTTTAACTTTGAGGTATTTGAATATGGTATCTTGAAAAGATCAATTAATGACTTTTCTTTTTTAAAGTTTTTTTTCCTATTTAGCATTATTAATTACAAGATCTGCAAAGTTCAAGAATTTAAAGTTTGAAGTGAGTCAATTCTGACCAAGTCCTGTGAGAAAACTACTTAAAAGGAAGAGATGAAAAAAGATACATTGTGCAAACAGAAGCATTTTTTTGGAGCAGGAACTTAATCCCAAATTCACAAAGTAAGTTTCCTAACCGCTACACTATGGAGGTAAATGTAGTGTCTATACCACACACCTTTTATCTTTCATCCTGACTCAGAAATACTCAGTTACTTAGATAAAAGTGGAATCAAACCAACAGATGAAATGGAGAAGGAGATCACACAGCAGATGGGTGCTTACACTCTGCTGAAGCTCACACGATCAGTACAGGGTTAGCTAAGCCAACAAGGCTGCACATGGGCTTCTTTGCAAGCGTGTATAAACCTGCACAAGATGCAAGGCAGTGAGGAGTCAGACTCCTGAGTTCTAAAACTAACTTACCTTGTCAGAATAAAAAAATAAAAAAATAAAAATACCAACACCCTTACCTGACAAGATTAAGAGTCATTAAAATGTTCTGGAGAAGAGATAAAGCAGTTCTTCATAAAAAACTTGAAGTCTGAAATGTTAGGTCATATGGTGTTACGGGAACAGGTCAATCAAACACTGTGAGCCAGGTCTTTATTGTTTGAAACGAGTTTCAGAAGAAATCTCTCTTTGATGATGATAGAGAAATTCTGAATCCCACTTTAGTTGTCTTCTTTTATAGAGCTTCTCTGACCTAAGTATTCTACTGGGTTTTCTTTTAAAATTGAAAAAAAAGTAAGACAATGACTGAAGAAACAAGAAAGAAGTTTTATTATGTTTAAGTTGTATGATTACAATTTTCTGATATGGTTAGAACTAACCTGCTCAGAGGAATAAAGAAAGGGTTTGATACATAGATTTCTGAAGATTTTTAACTGGCATAAGTGCATCAAGACTTTTTCCTGAAAAGTCTGTGTCAGCTGGAAATGAAGAAGATAGATCTGCTGTGATTCTCATCCATGTAAGGTTTCTCATGACTTGCATCTAAACACGAAAGGCAAAAAACCAGCAACCAACATATTGTGGGAGCATGGTATATGCTTATTCACTTTCTGCAGGCACAGGAGCATTTCACTTTGATATACATTACAGGTTCTAGCACACAGAAGTTGTCTGTTTTCTCACCGTATTTAGGAACATTTGGTATCTCTGCATTTTTAACAGAGCAACCAAAACATTTGGCTTTTTTAGCTTGAAGATTTTTCCAATACTGTAAGTTTCTTTCACGGAATCACTTTTAATTGATAAAACTTACTTTAAACTTCCTTGAAAATCCTTGATATAAGTGACACTTGTACACCTGGTCTACTATATGAAAAAAATCTAATTAAGGAAATTCCAAGGTCAAAGGCATACAATTAAAAAAATAATATGGTAAGCATTAAAGTGAAGTACTAGATTAAAATATTTAAGAGATTTGATATTAATTACAAAGTATCTAATATCTTTATGATGTTGATAGCCCCAAAAATGCATCAAAGAAGATGACATGATGATGCATGTCATGAAGTGATAGGAGATGCTGAAACCTGTCAACATTCTCCATTCAGTCAGACAAAATCCATTGGGAATTTCAGTCAGAGTTTGAATGAAAATATTTTTGATGGAGAAGGATTGTGCAGAGTTGGCTCTGTGTTTGAGAGGATGACTAGGAAATAAGGAGCAGAGGACAGAAGACAGAAAAATAGAGAACTGGAAATAAAGACTCCAGAATCCAAGTTCCCTCTGTTAAAGTCAGCATGGGGCACTATTGGCAATGTTTGTATCCCCCTGGGTTTTTTTTTTTCCCCTCTAGTTAGATATGCAATATTTTACACACAATCTGCATGTAGATAGCCATATCAGTTGTCGTTCTAATCTGTTATATTTTGATGTACATCTTTACATAGATACTCTTATTTTAAGGTTACCATTTTAAAATCCAAAGACTCTATTTAAGTTCAGTTAAAATATTTTTATTTTGATATATAAGTATTAAACAAAGCAAAATAAACAGATCCCATATTTTTGACGTGTGATTAGCATAACTGAGACAAGTCTATAAAATATGGTATGTAAAAAAAGTATCTAATTGTAATTAAAGTTCTGGGGCCTCTACATTCCAATAAAATAATCATAATTAAAACCAAGGGCAATTCTCATTTTTCTTTTGTAAAACAATGACTAGAGTGAAAGAACTTTTCATTGTTTGTCCAATTAATTACTGGTCATGCACATTCTCATGAAATCTTAAAGCTGGCACAAAGGGTTGAAATTGAGTTTGGATGGATGAGTTAACAGTTCAAATGAGCCTTATAGAAGAAGTTAGAGCAACCAGGCCCATAGAGAACAGAGAGGAAACCTGAATCTGGCAGCAGCATCACCCTTTGTCATGTCAGAGCACCAGGCCCAGAGGTGGGATGGGTGATGGCAAGAGATGGCTAGAAGGCTATGGCTACAAGTAAGAGACAAATATTATCACAGTATATGCAAAGAGGATGTTCATTAAAATTCAGTAAAAATAAATAGATGAAGACAGAGTCTCTGCTGGAGGGCAGGAAGCAGTGATGACATGGAAGAGAGGGAGAAGATGGGCACCATCCAGCACATAATTTGGCTTTTGCAGGTAGAATAATAGGAGCCTTTGGCTTCTTTGACACCATGCTTCTCTCCTTCCCTCCCTTGATGTAGATGCACCCATCTTCTCTTGAAACCTAGTCAGAAACACGAAGGAAACAAACCTTCCTGGATTCCTAGCAAAGAAAAAGATTCTGCATTGAGGTCCTACTGCTATCTGCTTATCTGAACATGCAAAGCATGTCCTCCACAAGAAGCCAGGCTGTAAACTTTTTTGAGGTAAAATAGTGACTGAGGAATAAGAGGAACTTCACCAGAGTAAACCCAGAGCGAGAGCAGATGAGATACTGACCAGTTCCTGAGTCAGCAGCATGCTCCTCAAAAGCCCATAATCCATAAGACTGATGAATGCTGCTCTAGGTTAAAGGCAATAACATACACAATTTGCTACAGCACAAAGATTTTGATTTAAAAAAGAAATAAAACCAGAAATACAAATGTTTCTCCATGAAAGAACTTGCACATTGGCTACTTTAAACGCTTGGAACATATCCAGCCAGTTGACTGCCTCTGTGCACCGTGCTCTAAGGTAGTAGCTTGGTCTAATCTGCCTCTTCCTCCCCCTTGCAGCTGAAGAACATTAAAGTGAGGCACTATTTTCCAAGAGGCATATAGCGTAAAAAATGGTCATTTGTTCTTGTTGGCTGAAAACACGAAAAGTCAGATGCTACTGCAACAGATCCAGGCCGCTAACAATGTGTGAATCAACCCTTTCAACAGTGGTTCCTCTAACAGGAAGCCTCGTTTTTCCTGTAATGCGGGTTAAGACAGTAAGAAACAGCTACCAAGTAGAGCTGGACAAAAAAAAAAAAAAATGGATGGAAGTGTTTTCAACTGAAAGATAAAACTGGTCTAAATGTTTCACAAGATGATGTTGGAGACCAGAGGCCTCAAAATAAGTTTCTTTAAGCGACTGAATAGAAGAGAAAATCTTTGTTAGTCCATCCCATAGAAAAAAGCTGCAGCTCAATCCTTTTTAAATAGTAATCCACATAGACCATACAAATCTGGTTTCCTATTTGCTTATTTTTCAGTCAACTAACAAATGACATTATTTTTAAAAATGTGAATGGTTAATAAAAACTGAATGTGGTCTTTGATTATAGTCTTTTATATAATAGATGAACTTTCATTTTTTGCCATTAGCTGGGTTGTGAATGGTATTCCTGGAAAAGGATAAAAAAAGACTGGAAGAAGAGGAATCAAACAAAGCACTCCTCTGGCATTTGCTGTAGGAGAAACAGTTGTTGCTTCCTGGTACGTGAGGCTTAATACAAGTAGGATGCTTTTTGACCTTAATCATTCAGATACCTTGATCTTCTTATATCTTCCTAGTAAAGCCATAATTTCAGGTGCGCAGGCAGAAGACCATGATTGGAGTAGGTCTTCAGAGAGTTGAATTTTTTAGAGAAGTTCACAAAAGTAGATCAGATTTCTAAAAGCCACCCTGCGGGCTCAGCTATTTCCTTCTGTGACGTGTGGTAGGCTTAATCTTGTCTGACACCAGTCACCTAAAATAAGGGCATGCAGTCTTGGCCTGTCATGCAAGTTCCCCTTGAGTCAAAAGATAAAAATGGTCACCTCCAGGTAGCAGCTCAACCTCTCCCTCCTAAAAGAGGCACCCTGGAGATGCTGCTCCTTCCATTAGCTAGAGAGGGAGTCCAGACAACAGAATGAACACTTAAGCTGGAGGGAATAAACACCCAAAACAGAGTGCTTCAAAAGCTCATCTGCTATGCTGGTGCTTACCCAGGAGCTGAGCTCCTCCAGAAGGCACGTCCCAGCTGCAGTGACAGCCAAGTAAACACATGGTGGGGTCACTGATCTTTGGTGCCTGTTCTCCTCTTACGCAGCCACTCACAAGTTTTGTGCGAGTCTTTCCCATTTTTACCAGCATTAATGACAGACAACACAAAGTACTTGGCTAAGGATGATTTGTTACTCACTGGGGCCATCTTACTTACCGTTATGACGTGGTTTACTGTCGGGAAGGGGCTGCCCTTGGATGAAACTTCAGTAGAACCAGCATCAAGGGCGTCGGGTTCTGAAATGAGGGATGCCTTTAAAGACAAAGCAGCAGAAACGTATATTTTTATTTTGAACGCTGTTTAAGAAGAGCAATTCCCACCCTCTTGGGTTAGTATACAAATGCCTGGCCTTATCATTATATATGGTTGCACAATGAAAGCAAATATAATTGCAATTCTTGCCATTCCCCATTTTTGGTGAACACACACTGTATTTGAACTGTTGAAATGGTCAGTTCAAGAGTAAGAAGTTGTAACACATAGTATCAAGAAAAAAACGCTGGTTATTTGTACACAGATTAGTCCTGTCATCAAAACCTTAGGACTCCGATAGCACACATGAATGCATTAATTCCTTCTCATCTCCCACACATAGAAAGAGCAGAGGTTTTTTTCCTGCATTCTTTAAATAGATGAGTGATTCTGCCATCTTGTGGGAGACAGAGAAATCATAACTATTTGTAGGATAACAGCAGGACAGAACAGTACCGAACAGAAATGTCTTCTCTTTTTTACTGCTTTCACTATTCATTAAATGAACAGATATTAGTAGGTAGTATATTTCAAATAGCCCCAAAAATAAGCATGAATGGAGAAACCTGAGCCAAATGGTTGATTTTTAAGACACTGACTTTACCAGAAACTCTGATCACAAGTTAAAGGTACAGCAACTAAAAATCTGATTTGTTTTCCCTGATGATGTGATAATGTGAAATATGTAAAGAATTATTTAAATTCTCTCACATCTGTTAAAATACAAAAATTAGATAAGGATAATCCTTTCATAAAAGAAAAAAGGTAAAATGATACAGAATTTTATCCATAATTAACGCTTTAAAAAATGTTAAACTAACTTCCATATGTAGATTGTGGAACACATTCCTCTATTAATAAGTCTATTATAGCATATATTATATATATATAT